CTACCCTCCAGGACAACCACCAGTGCTCCCGTTTTACAGAGGAGAACGCTGGTGCTCAGGGAGCCGCAGGGACAAGCCCAGTAGTCAGTCTAGAGAGTGCCGGGGTTCAAACTGAAGTCTGTCAGGCTCCAGGCCCCGCTATTCCGCTCCGTGCGTGGTCCCCGGGCACTTGCCCTTCCTCTGCCTCCGTGTTTTCTCAGTCCCAAATTTACTCCGTCCAGCGAGCCTCAACAGATGTGAAACCTACGTTCTGTAATACTGCTCAGTGTGCCGCAAGCATCAGACAATCGGATTATCCATGCCTCTGCTCTCCACCGGAGACAAACCACCTGGTGGGAGAGCATGCACGAGGGCCAACGTTTCCTCTTCCTGCGGGTGGCAGCAGGCGCAGCCCACCCGCAGGTGGGACTCGGACTGGAGATCAGCCGGTCCCGTGGGGAAGAGAGAACCAGGACACAGAGCAGCAGGGGCAAGTCCCGCCCACTACCCTGAAGACAGAGCAGAAGGACTCACCACCATGAAAACGCAGCTCCGCCCCTGAAATCTGACAGTCGCGAAGGACAGCTACGATGAACACCAGCATTCAGGGTGTTCCTTCGCATTTCAAGAAAATTACTTGAGGAGAAATAAAAGAACTTCAGTGGACCACATGAGAAATCATACCCCAAAAGACATTGTAATAGGGCTTGAGGGGAGGTTGAGATACCCTTGTGAATGAAAACACAGAATTTATTGGATGGAATAATAATAGGGAGAAGACACTATGGCGGGCACTGCTGTAAGATAAGTTAACTCGTTTCATCCTCAAGGGCAACCCCATGAGATAGGCACTAGTTTCATTGCTGTTTTACAGGGAGCGGACCTAAGGCCAGAGGAGTTGAGTAAGTTACCCTGGACCACTCAGCTGGTAACAGAGGGGCTAGGGGTCCACGCCAGTGCAGGTGACTTCAGAGCCTATACTCTTAACCACTGCTCTGCTTCGCCTGTTAAAGGGAGAAAGAGTTGGCTATTCACCCTTAACCTTTCAAAACGAGAGACTGGTGCCACGTGGCCAGCCAATGAACTCTGAGAGACAGGTCACTGGCTCGGCCCCACAGGGGGACGCGGCTCCACTCACATACAAACCAGGTTTGGGGGGTTCTCCAAACAATCCTTCCAGTTCCACTCCACTCTGACCGGAGAAATGGGGAACCAGGTGGATCAGGACTTAAATATGAAACAGCAAGGAACTGGTAAAAGGAGTTGTTGGCTCACGGAAAAAGTGGGCTTTTAGCCCTGGCCGGCGGCTCGGCCAGTGAGAGCAGTTGTCCCTACACCAAAAGGTTGCAGGTTTGATTCCCAGTCGGGGCACATATCTAGGTTGCGAGTTCCAGCTGCAGTCCGCCGGGGTGTGTACAGGAGGCGACCCACCGACGTTTCCTTTCCTCCCTCTCTTTCCGTCGCCCTTGCTCTCTCTTTAAAAAATCAATAAAAACATATCCTCAGATGAGGACTGAAAAGTGTGTCTTTGCAGGTTAATTGTTAGAAAGTGAATCCCTGGGTGGCATAGCTCAGTGGATTGAGCACGGGCTAGGAACCAAAGTGTCCCAGGTTCGATTCCCAGCCAGGGTACATTCCTGGGTTGCAGGCCAGAACCCCCAGCAACCGCACATTGATGTCTGTCTGTCTGTCTGTCTGTCTCTCTCTCCCTCCCTCCCTTCCCTCTCTAAAAATAAATAAATAAAATCTTTAAAAAAAAAAAGAAAGTGAGAGAATTTGGCATGAAGAGTTCGAGCTTCTCTCCTGGCTGCCGGCGTATTCTGATGCAATCCCACCGCTCCCAGCCTGGGAAAGGAGGGCAAAGGAGAGGCAGAGCTGAAAACCAAGTAAGGACTGGCCAAGCCCTCTTAAAGGCACTTAGATCTTTTCCACACGTACAGAGAGGACAATTTCCAGAACCAAAGAAACCCGTGGGTACTACCATGGCTCCAGGGGCAAGGTTTACAGTAATGTTCACAGCACTGGCAAAGAGATGTTCTGGAAGAATCAGGGACCGAAGGCAACCTTTAATCCCAGCCCGTGGGCCCTCCCAACACAGGACAGTTCAGAGAAGCCCAGACGCTGAGGAGCCTCAGCCTCTCAGCAAGCTGCATGGGGCAAGGGAGACAGGAGGGGCTCTTCCCTCGGGACACGCCTCGCACTCCAGAACCCCTGACAGTGAGGCGGCCGGAACCAGCCCTCGTTATTTCCCGTGTTTTACGATCCAGACATCATCCTTCCGAATCGTCCACTCTGCTGACGGACGCTGGTCTGGGAAACACGCAACTCCTCTTGAAGTGCCGACCCTCTAATAAACTCATCAGAAGAGACACATTAGGAACCTCTCAGGGGTGTTCTTCCGCCTGGGAAGGAAGGGAAATGCCCGCGGGCAGCAGAGAAGTCCACAGGTGTTTCAAGGGGGAAGAGAGATGAAGGACGAGGTCCAGGCTGAGACCATTGTCTCCTTCCTCTGGTTCCAACTAAATTTAAACGATGTGTGTGTGGCTGACGAGTGGAGTCGCACACCCCTTGGCTTTAAAGCCAGGCTCAATCAGGCCCACGAGTAAAGGCAGGGTGCAGGCCCTGAGGATCCACTTCTGCAAAATGGTGCTTAATGGCCTGCGCTTCCTAAAGGTTCTAGTGAGCAGTAAACGAGACAGTAAACGTAATTCGTCCTCGACACGACGGCACACACTCCGTACATGGAAGGTGCCGCTTACCCCCATCCCGACCCCTGCCCGCGCAGAGGCCTCCCCACCCACTGCTCCCCGACAGCAGCCTGCAGGCGCGAGCACTGGTCCTCAAGGTCCCCTTCACGGGAGTGAGGTTGGGCAGAACCTGTGGCTGGAGAGCTCCAGCGGAGACCTCGGCCGAGAGAGCCAAACTCTGGGAAGCAAGGACGGATCCTCGGCCGAAAGCTCGGTGGCGTCTGTTGTTTACCGGGAGTCCCCTTCCTACCAACGCACTGAGAGGGGACGACCCTCCAACTTGGAAAAGGAAGCGCGAAGGTGACAAACGACAAAGAGGCTGGCAGCGGGGCCCCGCGGGAGGCTGAGGCAGTGGGGTCGCGGGGGGGAGCCTGATGGAGAGAGGCCCCTCCCTGGAAGAACAGTCCAGAACTACCGAGCCTCTCTCACTCCTCTCCTCAAGCACAAGCCCTCGCAGCGCAAGGCTGGGGGCTTCTCGAGGGTCCCGCCACCGACGCGGCCAAGCTCAAGTGAGAGCCCAGGGTCCGGCTGGCCGATCGTGAGACCTGCGGGCGCCCCGAGCCCGGGCTTGGGAATGTGGTCAAAGAGGGGTCACCGGGGAGGGGCCGGGCGGTGCGGACCTGGAGAGGGGCGGGGCACGGGAGGAGGCAAGAGGTCCGGGCCCCCGCTTTCGGAGGCGCAGGGTCCCCATCCGACTCCCAGTCGCACCCCGAGCGCCCCCTCCAGCCCGGGGTCTCCGCCACCCCGGCAGGGCAGACCCACTCCCCTCACCTGGCTCGGTTGCTCTGCCTGCTCCGAGGACGCCATCTTTCTGAGGCCTGACTAATCTATCGCCGCGGGGCGAGGCTTCTCCCAAGCGCCCCGGCTCACGCCCTCCCGGCCAGACTAAAGTAGCCGGAACCGAGCCTGTCGATGGGGGCGTCGGGGCGGTGGGGAGAACTCCCATGTCCCAGTCACCTCGCGCCGTTTGCATTAGGTCTCTGCTCACCAAAAAGATCCGAGGTCTGTCCTTTTTGTATTGTTAGATGTACATTATTATTATTGAATTAAATCTCTGTCCATCCCCACACGGCCACACTGCAATGGGCAGAGGTAAGGAACTCGCTAAGTATTGATTGATTGATTGATTGAATGAATGAATGAATGAATGAATGAATGAATGAAAGAAAATTAATTAATGGTTCAGTTCAGTACCACTTGTGGAGCGCCTACCATTTTCCAGGCACTTCGGTAGGCGCCAGAAGTGAAAAGATCCAAGACAACCCCTGGCCGCAAGTCCAGGCCAAAGACACATACGCAGCCCGTTGGAGACGAGTCTGGTAACAGTGTGCAGGTCCGTCGGAACACGGAGCGGGGAGCTTCTGGGCGAGGAGAGTGTGAACGTGAACTTTACACGGAAGGGTTGCATACGCTGGAACCCCCAGTCCATGTGGTAGTTGTGTTTTAATCGGTTGTGGAGTACTCAGAAGTGTTGCGGCTACCATTTTCTTACGAGAGCTCGTTTCCTTTCACAAACAAAATACGAGACTGACTCTGGGTGAGTGTGGGCTGACAATTGTTTCTTGTTTACACGAAAGGACCTCTTTTAAGAGAGGAAATACTTTCTTCTTATTATTTTAACCTTAAATATTGGGTTTTCATGAGGGGGAAAACAGACTTTTCTGTAAGTAGCAGTATTAGAACAAGAACAAATATATTGTCAAGCAGCATCTGGACAATCTCAGTGATTTGGTTCACATTTCCACTTTCTTCTCTGATTTCTTTTAGACCATAGTTCTTAGTCTATTTATTTAAGCATTCTGTTATGAGTCCAACCCAGTTTGCACGGCGAAAGCAGGGAACTGAACGGATATGTGAGAGTATCTTATCCTTCTCTGTTACGTTTTTCAGCAAGATTGAAAACTACACTCATCAATTTTTTAAATCGACTTCCTTCCGATCAGCCTGAAAGACGGGACATCTTGCAGATCTTCTCAGGTTAGAAAGGGAAAGCAAATTAACACAGGACCATGAAAGACAGCATTTAGATAGGCTGATAGGAGTTCTCACAATTCAACGGAGTACACGCGTGTGTCCACGAATCCCTACAAACGAAATAAATCCCTACAACTCCTCTTAGGTAGAATTGCGCGACGTAACCAGGTCGGCTTTGCATCCAGAAACTACAGCTCCCAGCATGGCCCAAGGGACGCACCTATTAGAACTACATGTCCCGGCATGCCTTGGTCCCACCCGCGATTTGCTACAGAGAGAACTCCATCTCCCGGCATGGCCCGGGTGGGGTAGGGGAACACCGGCAGCTAGCTTCCCCGACTTCCCAGAGTCAATCAGGTGCCCGGCTGGAGAGGATGGAGGGGTCCTGGGGCGCCCGGGCTGCGGAACCCGGAACGAATCAGACTCTAAAGCCGTGTCTGCTGCGCCGCAACCAAAGCCGGGAACAGCACGGCGTGGCGGCCTCCTGCCTCGAGGATCTGAAGAGCAAGGGTTGGCACGGGACCCGGGCGAGGGCTTGGGGGGCCGGGTCCCGGGCTGAGGGGACCCCGGGGCCGGGTGAGGATTTCGGGCGGGCAAGGCGGGGCGAGGAGAGGCGATTTCGGATTCTTGAAGCTCCTGTAACCTTGGGACAGAAATGACTCAACGTGGGCATAAGCGATTTGAAGTTTTCAAAGCGTTTACAAGGCTTTAACTTAGCTCGTGTGAGTCTCTTCATGGTAGAAAGGTAGACGGGAAGCACTGTGAAAATTAAGACTCGACTCGGGTGCCTTGACTAAAACCACTTAGATTTGGGATCAGTCCCGCGGAGTGTCGGACCGGTGGTACTCTCTAAGGCGGTCCTGGGCTCTCGAAGGTGGTACTGGGGCCTGGAGCTGAGCCCAGGCGGGGTGGGGCGGGTTTCCACCGGCAGCTCCGACAGGGACCTACCTGCGCGGTGCAGAGGGAGCTGCTACCCAGTGGGGGGCCACCGGAGGGATTCTGGTGCTGGGGGTCCAGACCAGAATCGATGTTGTGAGCACCGAGGTGACCAGTTATGCATCCCGGCCCCATATTGTTACTGTGGAGCTGCTTGACCTTGCACTTAATTGTCTCTCTACCCTCAGTTTTCTCGTTTGCAAAGGGGGTGGGTATAGTACTATCTACAGCCCTGCTTCCCAGGATTGTTGGGACTCTCAAAGGAGATGATACATACAGGGAATTTCCAAGTGTCATTAGTCCATAGCAGTACATTGTTTACCTGCAAAGGTCTACCTGCTCAACGAGGGAGTGGTCCCCAGACGTGTGGTCACAGTGCGTGCCGGCGTTCAGTGCTTCCGCTCAGAGTCATCGAGCCCCAGGGCACAGACATCTTTCCGAGACCCAGGAGCAGCCAAAACACTGTAAATGCTTTAGAGTGACCTGGCATTTATTTGCCACATAAGCGGTTACGTATTTTTTCTTGGCATCAGGGTGGTTTTAGTGTCCCTGCAGCGCTCTGCCTGGTGTACTCGGCACAGATGCCCAGATGCCCCAGATGCTGGCGGCGGCAGACGACATTGCCTGAGGGTATTTATAGGCTTCCAGTTACTCCTCTGCGTACTCTGGTCCCATTAGCATCTTAGGCTTTGCCCTGACTAAATAGGGTGGTGCTGACCTACCCCGGACGAGGCCTGTCGCCCCGTGATCAGATGAAAAGCTACTGATACAAGCTTCTGCCTCTTTGTACTTTCCCAGGTTTATAAAGCCTATAAAGGAAGATACTACAAAGAATAAAAAGCATTACCTTTTTTCCCCTATTTTTTTTCTTTTCCTTTTTTTTTTTTGCATTTGACACAAGAACTTAAGATAACCACTGAGTAAATGAGTGAGAGAAAGACTGCTTGTTTACAAGGACTCGAGCCCAACTCTGGGTGTGCATCCCAGTTCACTACTGTGTCATCTTGGGAAAGTGACTTAACTTATCTGAGCCTTGGGTGTGATATTTGTGAAATGGGAATAACAATAGTACCCGCCTTCTAGGATTGTTATGAGATGAACGCCCTGTAGGAAAAGCACTGAGAACAGGACCAGGCATGTGACAGCGTTGTATTAGTGCCACTAAAAGCCGTGACTGTTACTGTAGTCATTACCTGCAGGAATTCTGCTGGGCTCTGGGAGCATACAAATTGAGAAAGGACAGATGTAGTTCCATTACGGATACTTGTCAATTGCCAAATACTTTATTTCTCTCAGCCTATGACATCCTGGCCATCGATAAGTCCCTGGCACCAGTTACCCTGGTCCTGGCAGAGGACGGCACCATCGTGGACGATGACGATTACTTCCTGTGTCTGCCTTCGAATACGAAGTTCGTGGCGTTGGCCGGTAACGAGAAGTGGACGTACAGCAACTCAGGTAAGGAGGGCGGCCGTGGGCAGAGTGGCCTGTGCACCCCGACAGCCATCACGAGTCACTCGGCTGCGCAGACACGGGGCTACTGTTTGTCTGGCTGGCTGAGCACTTACGCGACCCGGGTTTACCGAGCGCCTTCTGTATGCCAGCTATGCGCTGAGTCTTGGGGCGAGGATGAATGAGACGCGGGCCAGTTCTCAAGTGACTCAGAGACTGACAGCGATTAACACGCAGCCTGGCAGAGAGACCAGGAAGAGGGCGGGCTGCCCCCTCCGCACCCTGCCTCTGCCGTTTACTGGCCGTGTGACCTTGGCCATGGCCAGATGGCCTAGCTTCTCAGCACTGTCTTGAGAGAATCATCACAGGACCTGTCTCCCAGGGGTGCTGTGAGGAGACTAGAACACAGTGCCTGTCCGACCAGGGTTTCTCGACAACACTCCCGACATTTTTGGGCCGGGGAACTTCGTTGTGGGCTGTCCTGTGCGCTGCAGGAAGTCTAGGAGCACCTGTGGCCTTTGCCTTCTGTATGTCAGTACTTCTCCTCACCCCAACAGTGACAGCCAGACGTGCCTCCAGACGTCGTCACATGTCCCCTGCTAGGCTGACTCGTTATCAGTTGAGAACCACTGATAGGAAGCATTTGGATCTTACCTGTCACTCAGTAAAGGGCCAAGAAATGTTACCTGTCACCACCGTCCCTGGAGATACAAAGGGAACTAATACTGATGAGCCAGGGTCAGGGCACTAAGGGAGTGTCTCAGGAAAGTCATCAGAATTAACCTCCGGCAGTGGCTCTATCACCCGGTTTGTACACGGGCTCCACGCACGGCCAGGGCTGCGGCTCCTCTGGTCAAGGCTAAGACCAACCCTCAAGCACAGGCGAGCTGCTGAGAATCACGTTTTGTGTACAAAAACAGCACACGCCCGGAGACAAAAACTGACCTAAAGGGAAGTGTGGTAGGAGCCTGGCTATGCGTGACCACCCAGTGGGGCTCAGTAGCTTCTTTCCCTAAAAGGATAAAGAGTAGTTACATACAGACATAAAGGGAAGATGGAAGGAGAAGAAAAATCAAGGTCCTACGTGTGGATTGGCTTTTGCATAAACCCTTGAGAAAAGGTGCTTCCTTCTCAGTTGAGGTTACTCCACGCGGCCCGTCAGAAGGACGTGCGGACATCCTGGAGGGCCGTGGGTGTGCGGGGAGGAGGGGAAACAGCGCTTCCAGTGCATCCGACTGATGGACCTTCCCCCTACTCACCAGACGGCGGTACCGCCTGGATCTCCCAGGAGTCCATGGACCTGGATGAAACAGACAGCGGGGTGGGACTGCGCTGGAAGAACGTGGCCAGGCAGCTGAAGGAAGATCTGTCCAGTATCGTCCTCCTGTCGGAGGAGGACCTCCAAGTAAGCCTCCGCCCCAGCCCACAGCCACTCCTCCGGCCTCTGCCACCCCCAGCGTCCGTTGTCTGAGTCTCCCTGTGCCTTGCCGTGGTATTTTCATTATTTATTGATGTTTAAATATTTCCTAGATGATAACCAAGATTCTTCATTTTCTAATTCCCTCACCTGGAGTAGGAGTTTTTTCAACCCTCAGCTTGAGTCAGAATCACCTGTGGAGCTTTTTAAAAATGCAGATGCCCGGCCCTGGCTGGTGTGGCTCAGTGGATTGGACACTGGCGAGCAAACCAAAAGGTTGCTGGTTCGATTCCCAGTCAGGGCACATGCCTGGGTTGCAGGGCAGGTCCTGGGAGGAGTGGGGGCATCTGAGAGGCGACCCATCCACGTATTTCTTGCACATTGATGCATCTCTCCTTGTCTCTCCTTTCCTCTCTCTCTAGGAAAAAATAAATAAATAAAATCTTTTTTAAAAATGCAGATGCCCAGGCCCCACCTAGACCTGCTTAGGCCCACTCCGGGGTGGAGGACGTCTCACCAGAGAGTGGGAGTGGGAGTAGCTCGGCCAAATTCCAGCTCGGTCGCTATGACTCTGAGCCAGTAACCTATTGTCTCTGCCTGTGTTACCTCTAGAAAAGTTGGGGTAAAATAATGTGTTCATTCAGAAAGGGTCCCTCGAGCCCTGCTCTGTGTCCGGCATGCCTCTGCACACCGGGGGTCCGGTGGTGAACGACGCGGCCCGGTCTCTGCTCCAGCGGAACTCGAATTCTGATGCGAGGGGAGGCAGACGAACCAGGACACGCGTGGCGCAGTGGGGTGCGCCGAGAACGGTGGGGCCGCTTGAGATTGGGGGTCGGGGAAGTCCCGTTTGGACAACAAAGAAAGGAAGTCCCCCTCCGAGGAGGGTGACCTTGAGCTTATTTTGTAAACTTACGTACTGATCGTGAATAAGTAATATGAATGCAGTCCACGTGTTTAAAAATCCAAGAGGTGTAGAAGGATACCCAGGGAGCCAAAAAAGTAAAAATAGCCCAGACGCCCATCAACCGATGAATAAATAAAATGTGCTCTGCCCATCTAATGGAATATTCCGCCGTAAAAAGGAGTGCAGTATCAATGCGCACCGCAGTGCGGGCGAGCTTTGAAAACGTTGCGCCGAGGGGAAGAAGCCGGGCAGGAAAGGCCATGCTTTTCGTTGCTGCCTTGGCAGTGGAGGGGCCGGAGCACACAACCCTGCAGCGACAGAGAACATTCTAGAATGACTGTGCTGCTGGTGGCAGAGCTCTGTGAACGTGCCCGAACCCACCAAACCGGACACTTCACGTGGGGAAGTGTGCCAGGTGGGGTTCCACCTCCGTGAGATCGGGGCGGGGGAGGGGATGCGGAAGGTCTGACCTCTGCCCCCAGCTCCTCCCCAGGCGCCCTTCCTGGAGCCAGCCCATCCCCCGGGTTCCTCCTGTTCCATATGTCCCCCATCCCCCCGCGTCACACACGTGACAGCACGCCCACTCCGTGTTTAAAGTGTCGGAGAGTACCCGGGTCAGTGTACAAAAGACACGCCCGGCCTGCCTGACCTCTGCGCGGTATTCTGGGCGCGCTGTGTTTATCGCGTCTCCCCCTCTAGGGGATGCCGGGCCGGCCTCAGTCTTGCTATTCCAGACGGCGCCGCAGGAGAACTCACACCGGTATCGTTTTGTGCACAGGATAAATAAGTCCAGGCCTAGTTGGTAAACACCGGCAGGATTCCAGGAGGTGACCAGTGAGCCGAGAGCTGCAGGACAAGGTGGAGCCTGCCTGGGAAGGGCTGGGGCCAGAGTGCTGCAGGCCCAGGGAAGGCAGGAGCAAGCTTGGTTTGTGTTTGGTTGTTTGGTTTGTTTTTTTCCTTTTTAAGAAATGGAAAGGGGTGGTGAGATTCCCCCCAGCCCAACAGACTTGAGTACTGCGGTATACCCTCAGAGTAAGGGGCACCATGGGCCTTACAGAATAGGGACGTCGGGCCGTGAGTGAGCACTCGCCCTGACGCTGGGCTCCGCAGGGACGTTAGGGGCGCGTAAAGGGGACTGAGGGAGGCTTGGCCCAGTGGACGGAGAAAAGGCGCCACCATAGGGGGACTGCAGGCAGCCAGAGCAGGTGGGAGGGGAGGGAAGACCCTGGGGAGGAGCACACTCTGTGACGCAGGGGCCAGTATCGCCCCATTTTACAGATGACAGAAGTCGGTCAAGAGACGTTAGTGACTTCAGAGTTTCAACAATCAGATCTTTTTTATGAAGACTATTTTTAATTCAGTATGTGCCAAAGAATGAACCGCCTTCAAAATGATTCGTAGAGCAGATTCAGGATATAGTGAGTGAGTTCTCTTATTTCAGAATGAACGTGTTCTTTAACAGCTTGGTGTCGTTTAGTCCTGACCGCTGTGGCTCAGATGCTCCGTCGTCATCCCGCAAAGCGAAGGGTCGCCAGTTCCATGGGGCACATACAAGAGGCAACCGATCATTTCTCTCTTTCTATCCTTCCCTTCTCTTCTCTGTAAATAAATAAATATCTTTTAAAAAAACAAATCTTAGTATAGTTTATATTTTAAAAATAATCTTTTTAGCCCTGGCTGGTATGGCTCATGGATTGAGAGCCAGCCTGCGAATCGAGGGGTTGCTGGTTCAATTCCCAGTCGGGGCACATGCCTGGGCTGCAGGCCAGGTCCCCAGTGTGGGGCGCATTCGAGAGGCAGCCACACATTGATGTTTCTCTCTTCCTCCCTCTCTCTCTAGAAATAAATAAAGTCTTTAAAAAAAAACAACAACAAAAACTTCCACCAATAGAGTCTTTTAAAGCTAGGAACCTGTGTAATAAAAATGTTCAAGGTTAAAATTATTAGAAAAATTTTTGCTTGAAACCACCTTATATCAATTCATTTTATAAATAATCATACACTTCTTTTATGTTCCTTACAACTAGGTTTTTTTTTTAGGTTTTATTTATTTTCAGAGAGGGGAAGGGAGGGGGAAAGGGAGGGAGAGACACGTCAATGTGTGGTTGCCTCTCGCACACCCCCACTGGGGACCCAACCCACAACCCAGGCATGTGCCCCGACTGGGAATTGAACCAGCAGGCCTTTGGTTCACAGGCCGGCACTCCATCCACTGAGCCACACCAGCCCGGGCACAACTGGGTTTTTTAATATCAGGATTTCGTTTAGTTTTTAATGAGGCACTAGGGCATCATTTTCCAAGTTTTTTCCACCAGAGGAAAACTGAAAAAATTGCATGCCCCCCTCTCTCTCTCGATTCTTAGGCAGCCATATTAAGTAACTTAGGAAAACAGATTCTTGTGCCTCAGAACCTGGTGAATTTGAGAGAGCGGGCGCCGTGCTCAGAAAGCGCTTTCCGGTGTCTGAGAGTCCGTGTGTGCCTGGCAGGTGCTCATCGACGTGCCCAGCTCAGACCTGGCTCGGGAGCTTGGCCACAGCCGCGTCGCCGTCCAGGGGCTGCAGAACACGCTCCAGCAGGTGCTCGACCAGAGGGAGGAAGCCCGCCAGTCCAAGCAGCTCTTGGAACTGTACCTCCAGGCTCTGGAGAAGGAGGGCAGCATCTTGTCAAAGCAGCAAGGTAGGGGGCTGCTCGTCGGCTGGGGGCTGCCACCGAGAACTCGGTGAGGGGCACGCGCGGTAACGTGGCCGGCAACAGTGAGGACACAGTTGCCTGGCGTCTAGAAATGCCCGGTTTCTGTCTCGGCCTCCTGACTGCTCTGGCTGGTTGGGTGTGGCTGACCTCCCTGTCGCGTCTGCTTTGCAGAGCCCGAAGCTGGCTTCGGTGACCAGAGGGACGCCGTTGACGCGGGTGTGAGCACAGCCGGCTCCTCGGAAACGGCCCTCTCCAGCCAGATCCTCGCTGCCCTGAAGGAGAAGCCTGCCCCGGAGCTGAGCTTGTCCAGTCAGGATCTGGAGGTGGGCGAGAGCCAGGGGCCCTGAGGCGCAGGGTGTGGCTTCCCCGGAGGGTAGGAGAGCCCCGCAGAGGCTCCCACGGAACTTTCTCACCGCCGCAGACCCCGAACCTTAGCTGCCCGTTTGCCTATTATTATTTGCCAAAGCGTCCGCAAACATCTCATGCAACCTAAACCAGAATGGCTGAAACAAAGTGGAGGCGCCCCCGCAGATCACCACACCTGACTTTCTGTGACTTTCTGACCGGAGCGGGCGATGCGATGCCCGGCCGGGACAGGGAGGAGCAGCAGGGCTCCAGCCCGCGGCTGAGGGACAGGCGCAGGCGGTCGGGGCAGGCGCCTGGAGGGGCTCGCCCGCGCTGGCTCTCACACCGAGGGCTGGAGGCTTGGCAGGGAGAAGCCACCGCAGCAGGTGCTCCCCCTCCTGCCCGGCCCCTGGCCCTGTCCCAGCGGAGCTAGCGGGGAAGGAAACTGTGTGTGTGGACTCCACTTGGCTGCGTTTCCTATAAGTGAAGGTCATGCAGTTGCCCCGAGCGCACTCCTTCCCAAAGAGGCTTTCCTGGTGTTGGGTGGTACGGCCCACGACAGTTTAACGTGCAGGAGACCTGATGTTTCGGCGGGGACATAACAGTGTCGCCTGACCTCACGGCTCCCAAGAAACCGTGGGAGCAGCAGGCGCGGCGGGCAGAGGCCGTGGTTCTCAGTGGTTCTCATTCTTGCCGCAGTTGGTCACCAAGGAAGACCCCAGAGCACTGGCTGCTGCTTTGAACTGGGACACAGAGAAGACGGAAACCGTCCAACAGGCCTGTCACCAGGAGCTGAGCCTGCGCCTCCAGCAGGTGCAGAGTTTGCAGTCTCTCAGGAGCGTTTCAGCCGGGAGGAGCTCGCTGCCCGAGAAACCGCAGGCCCCCAAACGGGCCAGAGTAGACCCCTCATAGGCGGAGCTGCAGATATGCCAAAGAAACCCCCGTGACCTTGGTTTTCGTCATCAGCAAACCCCTCCCGCCGTGTCAGCCACCTGTGCGGCTGCTCCACCCCCTGCCTTCGAGCGCGTTCTCCTGGAACCGGCTGGAAGATGGGCTCCACGCCGCCAAAAAGCTGCTCCAGATCTCAGCGTCCACCCTTCTGCCCCTTGTGAACGAGGCAGCGGCGCCGGCAGGACCCCCCTCCTCTAGCCACCACACGTCGTCACGTTCTCTGTTCTAAAGCGACTGTGAACGGCAGCGGAAAGGAGCTCCCGTGTTGCGGACTCACCACTGTGTTCTAAAGATAGAAATGCAGAATTCGGGCTCATCGTGGCCGAGCCGGTGACATCATGGTGTTGATTACGGCCACACGCTTGCTTCTCAAGGTCATGGACTTTTTCATTTGTCTGTCTGAAGGCGCACACTCGGTTGGCAGACCCTAGGGACATACGGAGAGTCTCGCCATCTCTAATGCTCATTCAGCACTATGAAATTAGATCTGAAACTCTTTCAGCTTTCTGATGTGTGTTTTATCAGCAGGGGGCATAAGAGGTCATCAAATCAATTTCCACGCGACACCACTCCAGGTCTCTGGGTACAAAGCAGGGACTTCGGGCTCATATGCCTCCTGTTTCTGGTGCAAACGTCTCATTCAGGCTTTGTGACCTGCCACCCAGTCTCCTTGCAGGGAAGAGATCCTGGGTTATCAGGGACTTTTTTTTTTTTTTTTTAAGCATGCTTAGAGGAAAAGAGAATGCTATTAAGAGATACATTGGCTGGTTATTCCTTAATTATCCTTGAGTGAGAGCCAGGGCTGATGACTTACCCACACCCGTGCTTTGGAAGGCACTGACATAACACCCCGGACGTGGCGTTTCAGAAGAAATGAAAGGAAAATGATTTCCAATAAAGTGGCATGCGTCTCCTCAGTGCGTCTCTGTGTGTGACTGTGCCGACGGCGCGAGGAGCTGCGAGAGGCGTGGACGGGGACACGGAACTGCCGTGAGTGACAGGCGGCGGGCATGGGTGTGCGGTGACCGTCCACTCAGACCCACGGGTGGCACTACCCTTTGTAATGAGGTTTCCCCACCACCGACGTGCTGAACAAAATAGCTTTTTTTTTTAATGCAATTCTTTTTTTAAGGTTTTTTAAAAATATTTTATTTTTAGAGAGGGAAGGGAGGGAGAGAGAGAGAGAGAGAGAAACATGTACAGTTGCTGGGGGCCATGGCCTGCAACCCAGGCATGTGCCCTGACTGGGAATCGAACCTGTGACACTTTGGTTCGCAGCCCGCGCTCAATCCACTGAGCTATGCCAGCCAGGGCTAGCTTCTTTTTTTTTTTTTTTTTAACAAGGTAGCTGCATTCTTGAAAAATCCAGGGAACATTAAAACTGGAAAAAATACTTCCTATGTCACACAGAAGTCAGTTTCAGGCTGGGCTAACTTGGAACAGGTTTTTATCCATGTGGATGCCCACCGTGACCTTCAGAAGCCACACCCTGACCAGCAGGACTCGGGTGGGCATTGTCCTGAAAAGGGAAAGGTCGCTGAGGATGTCCGGTTAGGGCACGTGCCCGGGCTGTGGGCCTGGCTGCTGGAAGGGGCACACAAGGAGAGGCCACTGATCGATGTCTCTCCCACATCCACGTTCCTTGCCCTCTCTCTCTCCTTCCCTCCCCCTCTCTCTAATAATAAATAAGATCTGGAAAAGTCGGGTGGGACATGGGACAATTCTTCACTGTGAGGAATCGTCGTATAAATCACTGGAAGACACGCATCCTCCCTCCGTCCCCCACTCACTCGCCCTGTGCCAGCAGCGACCCACCTCCGGGTGCGGAGACAGCTGAAAGCTTCCTCTCACATTTTCAAGGTGCCCCCCGGGCAGTAACGCCAGCGGAGGATTTCCACAGTGGTGTGCTGTCCGCCCCGCGCTGGCTCCAGTCACACGGGGGCCCCCCAAACGGGGTGAGCCGGCAGGGCGTGCGCAGCCTCTCGCCTCCCACTTCATACCCGAGTGAGGCAGTACTCAGCACGGCTCTGACCCCAGCGCTCCTTCCATCTGTGTTTTCACTTAGGTCCACACACTTCATTTCTGCACCCCGAACACTGGTTTTGTTACAGCAATGTAATGTTGGAGCCCACTCCCACCGGAAGAGGCCTCATGTGTCTACAACATAATTGCCCAAAGAATTCTTCTTTTCTTAAAGGTTTTACTTATTTTTAGAGAGAGAAGAAGGGAAGGAGAAAGAGGGAGAGAAACATCAATGTGTGGTTGCCTCTCCTGCGCCCCCCACTGGGGACCTGGCCCGCAACCCAGGCGTGTGATGGGACTGGGAATCGAACCAGCAACCCTTTGGTACGTAAGCCGGCACTCAGTCCACTGAGCCACACCAGCCAGGACCCAAAAGATATCTAATTATAGTCAGCGTACTGGTGGGGTACGAGAAGTGGCCGCATGAACACTGTACAGTCAGCACAACAGTAAAGGAAGCTACAGAACCGTGTTTCTACTCACCAGTTCCAGCAGCGTCTCCAGCTTCGCTCTACTGAATTAAACATCTTTTCTTGAATTATGTTTGTCAAACACGCAGCGGAGCTTCGGGGGACTGGCCTGGCCTGGCCTGGCAGTTGGTATTCTGTACTTGAAACGAAGTCACCAAGCATCTCAGCTGCACAGATGGGGTCACGGGAAAAGTACTATAGCTTTGCAGTAAGGTGGAGTCTAGCCTTTCGAGACCTTCGTTTCCAAAAATGTACAGTTAGCGTGAGGCCCCAAGATGGAAAGGGTTAAGTGACATGTGAGAAGGTGCACTGTGCCTAGCCTGGTAGACTACGGAGTGGTCCGCGTTCACTTCCCCAGGGATAGGGGACAGGGGCAGGAGCAGAGACAGGGACTGGAGGTGCCTGCCTGCCTGTGGGTGTCCAGGGCAAAGACCCTCGTCTGCAAGCTCCAGCCCCAAGGTGTGGTGAGAGGCAGTGCAAACGCACAGCGTCGCCCCGGTGACCCTCGCGCCCCTCCACCCTGTACTCCCGGTCCTTCTGACACAGGCAAGTGGCGGCACAGCAATCTGTCTAAAAACAAGAGCGCATTACGGCAGGAGCAGGAATGGCAAAGGAAGCAGCTGGGACTAATGAACTTGACATCAGCCGTGTCCCATTCTTTCACTGCAAGTCAAGTGTCAGTCCCCATTAGGCAACTGGCTTTGACAGGAGCTGTGCTAATTACTACTTACCAACCTTTAATTTCTGGGTAAAAGCAAAAGGAAAAAAACTAATGGATTTTTCATTTTCCAGAGAGGAAGGAATAAAATAATTGTCTGAAAAAAAAAATACCCTGTATTAATACAGGAATTAGTAAGGTGCCTTTGCTAACCAGAGTGGCATTTAGCTATTTAATTTTCTACTTATCCTTTTTTTTTCTTTTTTTTTTTTGCTTTCAGGGTTTTTCAACATTTTATTTGTAGGGTTTTGCCTTAAATTATTTTGGTTGTGCCTTTTATTGCTTGAGGTTTTTAAGGACCTTAAAATGATCTAGTCTGAACATGTTTAGCCTGAACACGCTGCTGCCGACCAGGGGGGTCCCCCCATCCTCGTTGAAGGCCTCCAGCGAGGGGACCAGACTCGCCCCCCAGGAGGTGCATTCACCTTTCAGACTGCGGGACCCCCGCGCTGGGCGTTCGCCTGAATTAGATCAGGGACCACTCGCACAGTTACAGGGAAGTAAACCAGCGGGTCAATGCAGACACTGGAATTTCTTCACTTACACTCCAGCACCATGTTACAAGAACTAGAACCCAGCAGCTCAAGCTTTAGCCGGTCTGTAACGATTTTAACAAGGCAAACACATGTGCTTCTGACCACGTCACTACTTAATCATAAAGGAAAGGGTAAACGAGGGTTCCTACGAGGGCCATGAGAAAAGAAATAGCGGGTTGCTCAGCTGCCCTTCGCCCCTTCCTCTCTAACCCGGAGACAGCAAGGTTCCTCGGTTTCACCACCTGAATGACATTTCCTCTCCTCATTTGTTCCCAACGGAGTCCGTATGGCCACCGAAGCCGCGGCTACTCCCGAGACGTGCGTTATCCCTTCCGCAGGCGCTGTTACCCGGTCAAGCTGATTAAGCAGGTGTCGCCCCTGAGCTCCCTGGCCTGCGTTTCCGAAAGCCGGGGCCGGCTTGCTGTCGGCCCTGAAACACAAGTGGTAGGAAGGGATTTCGGCCACAGGCTGACGTCACAATTCTTCGTCAGCAGCGAAGGATCTATTCCGGTGATAAATGCTGGAAGTAAGTGAGAGAGAATGAATCAGAAGTTATCCGGGTGCTGACGTCCCAGATCGACACCTGTGACCGGACTGAACTACAGGTAGGTAGACTAAGAACAGTCTACCAAAAACCTGATGGTTGGAAATTACCCTAATTACCCACTTTACGCTAATTTATTTATCACGAGCATATGAATCGGGTCTCACACGCAGTTGACGCCAGCTCACATGTTACAAATTCCCCTGCACCAAGGCAGGCTGAGACGTCGTGATGGATCGTCTGGCAGTGTCATTAGTTTAGCCTCATTATCCTTCCAATATTACTGAGTTCAAAGTGAAAGTCCCAGTCTGAAGGACTGGGTGTGTATGACCTCAGCCGAAACTGAAAAACAATGGCCATGCTTTTCTTCTGGAAAAGTCCTGGAAGACGAAGTTCTGCAGGTCAGCTGGTCTTGCAGGCAGACAGCCCGCCCCCGTGCCCTGACCCAGCTCCTGGTCTCCGGAAGCTGCCGTGTTTGGAAAGGCAGATACTGTGGAGGCTCTTTGATCACATTACACTTTTTTTTTAAAGAGAGGGAAGGGAGGGAGAAACAGAGAGAGAAACATCAATGTGCGGTTGCTGGGGGCCGTGGCCTGCACCCCAGGCATGTGCCCTGACTGGGAATCGAACCTGCAATGCTTTAGTTCACAGCCCGCGCTCAATCCACTGAGCTACGCCAGCCAGGGCACATTACACCTTTACTCAGCTAGTGATTAGCAAGACGAGCTCAGCTCTGCGGAAACAGGACGGAACGGTCAGCGGTCAGACTCCGTGAGTCTGTCCCCCTGGCGTCAGAGAGGGTGACACAGTGTCCCCCCCGCCAGCCTTTGCCTGATTCCAGGAAAGAATCTAAGCTTTGAAGTCAGCATCTGAAAACATCACCTTGGAAGTTGCTTCGGAATCTATGGTTCACGAGTGTTAATCACGTACAAACAAGCAAGTACTTCGGTGCCACGGGGGAGAATTCAAAGTTTGATTAGGGTTTCGAAACGGAGCAACTTGCTTGCTCCTAACCTCCTGTGGGCAGACGGAAACCCTGGCCCACGTGGGGCCCGGCGGCTGCTCTGCAGGAACCTGTAACCGTCACTCACTGTCACCTCTGGGGGAATCCCCAGGGACTGTGGAGACACAACAATCACACACGTAATGCATCTCCATCTGTGTGCACCCGTCTCCGGACACGGTCCGGATGCCGTGACTCCGTGGGTCCCGGGACTGAAATCTGAGGCAAGTGGGCCCCAGGCCACGCAGCAGCGCGGCTCAGCCTTTGGTTTGAAAGAGACCTGCAGCGTTCATCCACGAAAAGGATTCTAACAAATTACTGATACACTAATTAAAAGTAGTTTGTGCGTAACAGCTGGTTCAAATGTAGCTTTTATAAACATGTTAGTGTGATGCCTGTTTAATAGGATGACATTTGTTGTTAAATTAAAGTCTTTGCTAAATCATGAAGAATATACCATTTTGCCCTGGCTGGTGTACCTCAGTGGACTGAGCGTGGGCTGCGAACCAAAGAGTCACCAGTTCAATTCCCAGTCAGAGCATGTGCCTGGGTTGTGGGCCAGGTCTCCAGTGCAGGGTGCATGAGAGGCAACCACACATTGATGTTTCTCTCCCTCTCCTTCTCCCTCCCTCCCCCCCTAAAAATAAATAACAGTTTTTTTAATATGCCGTTTTGCTCTTTGAGCAGTGTTAAAAATTTGCTTTTAAAATGAGGGAAATATTTTCAATTAGTTATATCAACATAAACCGAAATAAGATGTTATTCCGAACTTTTAAATATGTGGCCTTTAGCTATTCTGAGTCCAAGAAAGGGAGACGAGGACCGACCCCTGCCAAGCACACGGCGGAGGTGGAGGGAGGGCCCCCGGCTGCCCTGGGTGCAGCACAGCAAAACCCACAACGGTCTTTCAGAAACATTCACTCTGGGTTCCAGATTACTCCAGACATTCAGCACTGGGCGTTGCCGGAGCTTAAATTAAAAACACTTCTTGCCCTGGCTGGCGTAGCTCAGTGGATTGAGCATGGGCTGCGAACCAAAGCATCGCAGGTTCGATTCCCAGTCAGGGCACATGTCTGGGTTGCAGGCCACGGCCCCCAGCAACCGCACATTGATGTTTCTCTCTCTCTCTCTCTCTCTCTCTCTCCCTCCCTTCCCTCTCTAAAAATAACTAAGTAAAATCTTAAAAAAAAAAAAAAAACACACTTCTTGAATCACACAGAAACGAGAGGACTCTCTCTCTCTCTCTTTCTCCCTCCCTTCCCTCTCTAAAAATAACTAAGTAAAATCTTTAAAAAAAAAAAACACACTTCTTGAATCACACAGAAACGAGAGGACAACTGCATAAAGAAGAAAGATCACGGCTGTTTAACACGTTTTATTCGGGCCCATCGTCACCCTTCCTCGCACGAGTGACGCGGGCGGGGCCTCACTTGCAGGAGGAGAAGGTCTTCCAGAAGAAATTCCTGCAGGGCACTTTGTCGGGGCGCGTGGACTGCTGGGGGGGCGGGCCGTCCCGCCGCTTGGAGGGCCCCCTGGCCTCCCCGCCCACGGAGGGGGCCGCCCCGGCCTGGGAGGTCCGCTCGTGCCGCCACTGAGCAAGGAAAGTCCACAGGCTGTTTTTCTTCATTTCTGCCGCTTCCTGCCGATGCTTTTGAAAAGAAGGAGAGGACAAAGACAAATCAACCGTCTGGCTCAGTCGGCATTAAAAGATAAATAATTCCTTCCTTCCTTCAAAAAAAAAAAAAAAAAAGGCTCCGGAAGAATACATCACGTACCTGCTGAAAGGGTGAGAGAGTTAAGAGAACACTTGAACGGCACTGCTCTAACCCGAGAAGAGGGGAAGCTGAGACTTGCACTCAGAAAAGGAAAAGGCTGCTCAGCTGGCACATGTCTGCACAGACGCCCCTCATTCAAAGCCGGCTGGAGCCCTGCCGTCCGCCCCCATCCCCCCAGGAGGGGCTGGCGGCCACCCAGAAGCCCCGAGGCGGGCCAGGCTGGCCAGGGCGCGGCTCTCCCTCCTGGCTCTCACCCCTGGCTGTCCGCCAACGGCTCAAGACAGACCAGACCGGGACGCGATGCCCTGCTCTTCCGAACTCCTGAGGGAGCGTCTGGGAGTAATCTGATGATGCATGGCTTGCCTGAAACTCATCTGGTAATTTCAGAGAAAAATCCGTGTTTAATGGTCAACTTTATGTACTGTTCTTGGAACTTTTTCAAGATGGGAAGGAGAGGAGAATCAATCACGTCAGTGAAGTCAGGAGCGAGCGCTCACCGTGAGAAACGCAATGGTGTCAATCCATCCGAGCCGGCGGGAACAGGCGCCGAGTACGTAAATTAAGATTCTGGACGTGTGTGTGTGAGTGTGTGTGAGTGTGTGTGAGTGTGTGTGTGTGTGTGTGTGTGTGTGAGTCCGCGCATGGCTAGCCCTGCAGTGAGCTCCGCCATCGCTCTGGAACAGACCGGTACGACCACTCAAGGTGCACAGAGGAGCAGACTGGGGCGGGGGGGGCACTGCAGGGGGCGCTGGGGAGTCCACAGGCACGGCCAGCAAGCCAGGCAGCAAGACGGCCAGAAAGGGGGCTAGCGCGCGGCCAGGATGGGGACTACTCACCCCGCTGTGGCTGTCGTGGCCTGCGAGGCTGCCCTCCACCAGGGGGAGGGCAGCGGTGGCCCCTGAGAGCAGCGGCGGCGGCGGCGGCAGCAGCGGCAGCAGCAGCAGCAGCAGGCAGAGGGGCGGCATTCTGTGGGCTGGCGGGTACTCCTCTCCAACTCTGCGGCGGCTCATCCTCCTTGACGGCCCCGAAATCAGGGTTTTGTGGATGTGGGTCCTTTCTCTGGAGACTGCGGGGGGGGGGGGGGTATTTTTAGCTCAACCTGCAGCTGGTTTTTTGTATACATACCTGTGGAAGGCTGCACTCCCCTTTGCCCCACACTCCAGTGGTGACGCATATGCCGCAGCAATCAGTGCCCACAAAGGCGCTTCTGGATGGGACTTAAGCCTTCATTAAAGCCACAGGTCTCTCTGCCTCTGCAATTCACGGGCACTTGCTTCCGAAGAAGCTCCACTCCCTCGCAATCATGCCTGTAGCAGGCAGGAAGCCGTGAGAACAAACCAGAGTGATTTAACGTGGTTTAAATTTAGCCTTGGGTAAGGAGCTCACCCTCTGAAACTCTGCCCATAGGAGGGCGTGACTGAATCTGCCGTGGGCAGGAGAAAGGGGGTCGCAACGAGGGCTCAGGCAGCCGCTTAGAGCATCCCCCGGTTTCACCAGGTCGCAGGCAAGGTCGACCCCGGTGACCGCTCCCCAGCCCAGCAGGCCAGACACTGTCCTCCGGCCCTGGCCTTCTCACATTGAGCCGTGAACCCTAATCGCCCTACTGCAGTTCAGACTAAAATGCCAATTCTGATGTGGTGCAAGGAGGGGCCACGGTCCTGCAATTCTAACAGGCGCCCAGGTGATGCGGACCCCAGGGTAGCCAGGCTCGAGTCCAGTGTTTTCCAAAGTGCTACTGACCACTCACTAGTGGGTCACAAACTGGCACTTCTTTTTTAATCCTCACCCAAGGACATTTCTTTCATTGCTTTCAGAGAGACAGGGAGAGGGAGAGAGAAACATCAATGTGAGAAATAGCGACCAGCTGCCTCCAGTATGCACCCCGACCGGGGCTTGAACCTGCAGCCCAGGTATGTGCCCTGACCAGGGATCAAACCTGCAACCTGCTGGTGCACAGGACACTGCTCCAACCCACCGAGCCACAGCAGCCAGGGCTAAACCAGCACTTCTTTTGAGTAAAACAAGTTAAGAGTGCGTCACAGGGAGTAAGAATTTGTTTTGTGTGTCAGGTGTGAAACATTCTTCCTCCTGAAGGACCTGCACCTGACCTGCTCCCAGGCTGACTTCCTCGGGACGGCACCCCTGCTGAGAAGCGCAGTCTGGGGGGTCCTCTGTGCCCCCTTCCTGGCTTTTCCTCACAGGTCCCACCCTCAGAATCACAGAGACAAGCACGCAGCCCCTGTGCCCCAACTGAGACCGCCCCTAAAATCTGAAGCACCCGCCACAAACCCGCTGAGGATGACCGACGCCCAAGGCGAGGCTCCAGGAGGAAGCAGAACCGCCGTAGAACCACCGGCTCTCCCCAGAAGGGAACGCCGGTGGGAGGGGGCGGGGACAGCGCTTTCCAGGGCCCAGGTGCACCCCGGGGGTCCTCCGGGGAGGCTGCGGGCGCTGGCAGCACAGCTTAGCTTTGCAGGGTGAGTGCTCCAGACTAAAATCCTGGCTTTGCCATCTAACTGACCTCTCCGTGGCCTCGGTCTCCTCACCTGCAAACCGGGGACAAGGGAACAGGGCCGACCGCCGACTTCACAGAACCGCCAGGACCAGGGGAGTCAGGACACGCACAGCCCCCGGTGCAAGCGGGAGGCACACCAGGCACTCACGTTGAAGCCGTCGTAGAGACAAGGAGCTTGCTCTGCGCCCCGCACAGTGGGAAGGGCTCCTCGCTGCGGAAATCCCCGCTCAGAGCCGAGCCACCTCCGCACGGGCTCCCGCTTCTCCCCCGCACGCCCCGGGGAGTGCAGGGTGCAGTCTGCACAGGGCGCCCACCGAGGGGCCGCCCGCCCTTCACCGGCCCGAAGTGCGCCCTCAGGGGGCCTGCCGTCTACCGTTCGGGGCGGGAACGTGTGTTTCTGAAAAGGGGTACCACGGGAACTCTGAGGAAAGGACTCCGGTTTGGGGTTATTTTGAAAAACAAAGGCTGTTCCTTCGGAAGGGCAGAACAGGACCCGGACAGACGACGTCAGCAGGTGGGAGACTTTTCCCTGAGAAGAGAAGAAACCTGCAATCATCCGTGTCCAGAACAGAGAGGGCTCCCCGTCCCTGGAGGAGCTCAGCAGAGCCGGGGGACCACGTGTCAGGAAGGCCGGGCAGGGGGCTCCTGGGGTGGAAGCCGGGAGACCCCTTCCAGGCCCCACAGCTCAGTGAAGGGCACGGCGGCGCCTATGACCTCTCCCGGGGGTCGGCTGTGCGTGGCGGGGCAGACCCTCCCCGGCGCACCCAGGGGACAGCCATGAGCAGAGAGGGTCACTAAGGCTTGCCTGGCTCGTGATCTCAGTAACAAACACTGACACGGGGCCTTCCATAGCGAGCTCTTGGAGGCACGGGCGTACACGGAGGACAGATACTGACAACGCACACTGCCTCCGCCTTTGTTCCCGGGCCACACTTACGTCAGAGACCTCTGCTGCTCTGCGGCTCGTCGTCTGGTTATGCGGCCAGCAGGTCTGGTTAGAGCTTGGAGGAAGCAAGCCCATGCAAAAGGGCCCTCTGGAGCGTTCTGCCCTGTCCCCAAAGACGGAGGCTTTGGATGTCCAAAGTAAATGCCCCTCACTGGGGCGGAGGGCGGGGGGAGACGCAGCTGACGAGAACTCAGGGAGTGAAGCCAGCAGTTCCTACAAAGTCCGACCACCTCCGTGTCATCCCCCCCCCGAAAAATGTAAGACTGCGCGCCTAAAATAGAAACAGGCCGTACACAAACACGCTCATTAAACCAAAAGTTACGCGAACACCAAGCCGACTCCCTCCCGTGGCTAGGAAATGTCACGTCGGAACCCTTATGCCAGCAGGGGGGGGCCCTGCGCGCCCCTCCAAGCAGACGGAACACTCGTGGCACACACGGGTTCCCCACTTTGAGTCACGCGTGTACCAGTTTTCGGGGCTACACGAATCCGTAAGAGTAAGATGCATTGTGGTGGTTCTGCCCACTCCCTCCTACTGCCCCATGTAGCCTCGCTGCACGGTGTTCCAACCCTGCACCGCCGAGAAGATCGCCGCGGCCCGGGGAAGCCACCGAGCTCCGACAGCGGCACAGCCCGGATGCGGCCCAGTTGCGCCAACCTGTGCAAAGCCCCCAGTCTCCAGTGTCCAAGCTCCCCTCGGCGGAGAGTTCAGGGAGAGCTCATCTGAAAACGGGAGTAACACGTGGGGTGGGAGCGTGGCGGGGGCCTAACCCGGTGACGGGGGCGTGGCCTGACTGCGGGGGCGTGGCCTGACTGCGGGGGGCGTGGCCTGACTGCGGGAGGGGGGGGCCCTGACTGCGGGAGGGGGGGCACACAGGGCCGGACGCAGCTCTGGAACCACAGAAATGCATCTTTGAAGCCATACGACCTTATCACCTGATGTCGCCCCAATACATTTAATTAAAACAATAAAATTTAAAAAAGAAACCAACACACAGATCTTTGGCTGGAAGGCACGGCACGGGTGGAAGGCTCCACGATTCCATTCTCCTTCACTGACGTGGCCCACGTTACCGCTAACACGAGATCACGTGATCAGTTATCGCAGAAGCTGAAACTAAGGTTTAAATTCAAAACTCGGTGGGGATGGAGGTGGAAGAGGGTACATGGGGGATAAATGGTAATGAAAATACAGTAAAAATGAACTACTTTTTTAAAAAATCACAATGAAAAAAGTTTTTTTAAAGATTTTATTTATTTTTAGAGAGGGAAGGGAGGGAGAAAGAGAGAGAGAGAGAGAGCCATCAATGTGCGGTTGCTGGGGGTCATGGCCTGCAACCCAGACATGTGCCCTGACTGGGAGTCGAACCTGCGATGCTTTGGTTCGCAGCCCGCACTCAAGCCGCTGAGCAACGCCAGCCAGGGTTAAAAACAAAATTTTTTAAATAAAGACACTGCCCTTCCCACAAAAAAGTCTTTACTAGGACCACAGCTCAGCATCTCTCCCCGACAGCCGGGCTCTGAGGTGTCTTGCGATGGCCGTACTTGGGCACCGACGGTAAACATCCCACCCCGGATGCACGGCCTCTTCTCTCCTGCCCCCTCTCCAGTCAGACCCCGAATGTACACAGTCTCTACCGGTCAGCAGACCCTGGGCAGGTGGCCACCCTCTTGGAGCTTCAGCTGCCTCACCTCGACCATGGGGACAGCCACTCACCGCCTGGACCAGCTGCGCAGACCCGGTGAGGCGCCCGGGGCAGAGGCCGGCATGCAGAACGGGCTGCAAGCACCAGGCCCTTCCCCGCACCCCTACTGCCCGCCCCAGCAGGGAAACGGCGCCCCCTGGCCCTCTGAGAAACCCCAGAAAGACGACAGCAGGACTGTGGTCCCAGAAGCACCCCCAAAACAGCCTGAGGAAAAATCCCGTAAACTGTGTTTCCGGAAAACATCTCCTTTAAACAGCAAAAAGGTCCATTTCCCAGCATTAGCCTTCTCACCTGTGATCCCGAGTGACATGAGTTTAAAACAGCGGTAGTCAGAAGAACTGAACACATACAACTCAATCCTCGTTCGGGAACTGTCAGCCTGGACACTTACGTAATGAAGAAATAACGAGGATTTTTGCTTGAAAACAAATCAACCGCATCTTACTGCTAACACGGTTTTATTCATCGCAATCGATATAATTTCCAACATGTAGTCACACACACACCTTTCTTAAGAGTTTCAGTAAGACATGGGACAGGGGCATTTTGCTGAAGAGTTTCCAGTTCTCGTGCGCACTGGCTCCTGCAGCCGATGGCATGGAGAACATGGGGCAAAAAGCTTCTGCACCTTTTTTTTTTTTTAATCTCCACTTATTCCTTCAACATTCCCTGGGTGGCAATACGTGTTTTGGTGGCTCTGCCTGCTGAGGGCTGCTTTTCCCAAACGGTGACAGAGTTTAGTTCTCACTCTCCACTCCGCCAGCCTCTGCGGGCTCCGCCAAGTTTTTATTTTCAGCCTCTAACTTCTTTTTCTTCTTTGTTTTCCGTTCTGTGTTAAGCTGAGCAATCTCTTCATTTTTCTCTGTGATGTATTTTAGCTATGAAAAAAAAAATTATTTAATTTTAGAGACAGGGGAAGAGAGGGAGAAAGGGACAAAGAGAAACATCAATGTGTGGTTGCCTCTCGCACCCCACCGACTGGGGACCTGGCCCGCAACCCAGGCATGTGCCCTGACAGGGAATTGAACCAGTGACCCTTTGGTTTGCAGGCTGGCACTCAATCCACTGAGCCACACTAGCCAGGTCACAGAAAAGAATTTTTAATTATATTTTTATCTGGTTATAAAGCCATTTTATAATGTCTGGGGTGGGGACCTACACCCTCTCCCAACCACTCCCACCCCAAAAATCTGGGTGGACCAGCCTGGGGCACATTCCTCACAGTTAAACAGAGCTTCGGATTCTCGCGCACAGCAGTAACCAACTGCGGAAGTCAACTCCCTGCTGCTGACGATGCCACGGAGCAGGAGGGTGCTCCCAGAGTAACCAACCGATGAGTTAACACCCGGAGCTTGCAGAAGGCGCACCCATCACAGATACACTTTACAAAGCACTGCCCTGGCTGGTGTGGCCCAGTGGATTGAGTGCCAGACTGCAAAGCAAACGGTCGCTGGTTCGATTCCTAGTCAGGACACATGCCTGGATTGTGGGCCAAGTTCCCAGTTGGGAGCATGTGAGAGACAACCACACACTTTACAAAGCACAGATACGGTTAATATCCGCCCAAATTTATCCACCTGAAATTGTTGAGCAACTACTACGTATCACATATTAGGGACACAAGATAAACAAGACAAGGTCCCTGCCTTAAGGGAGTAGTCAAATGTGCAAATTTAGCTGTGTGTCTTCATTAATATAAGCGTCTGTCAGATGAAAAAAATTAAGAGTCCAAAATAAAAAGTGTTGTGAAGTCAACAAATGTGCATCAGCAGAGAACTTTGCAATTCATGCTCTAAGGGGACTTGCGTCATCTGTTCCTTTGCCAGAGACAGACACCACGCACGGCAGCTGACCAAGTAACAGGACGACACAGAGCGTACGAAGGGAGCAATCTCTTCTCCACCGAGACGCAGCGCCGCCAGGCGCCTTAGCTCTGTTACTCAGCTCTCAGCCTTAACCTTGACTTAAACTTTGCGGAAAGGATGCTAGAAAAGCAAAGGCCAAAAAGGGCCTAGTGGAAACAGCACTAATTCAGGGTTAAAAGGTCAAGGTTCAGGGGTCAACCCGAGAGCATCATGTTTAACTTTGGGAAGTTACCAACTCCAGGGGTCTGGCCTGTAAAATGGGCTAATAAGTCACGTCATTATAAACCTTCACAGGGTGGCTGTGAGGCTTGGATAATATATGTTAAGTACCTATAAAAGCCCCCTCTGAACGGTCAGTTGCTATAGGAATTTATTCAACTCCTCATTCAGCACCTACTGTGTGCCAGGCCCTATTCTAGGCACAGCAGGTGCAGCAGAGAAAAAAGAGATAATCCCCCCCCCCCCCTCGTGCAGCTCACGTTACAGGGAGGAACACGAAGTGTCTCCATGGCCGGGCCTCCCGGGAGTCCCAGACCCGCCACCGGCCCAGCCACCAGGCTGGGCAGGTCGCAGCATCACCTGTGACTTGAGGGCCTGGCCAGGGTGACGTCCAGATTTCACTGAAAAGACAGAGAACTCTGCCCACCTCGGCCATGCAAACACTCCTCATGCCCGCCCAGGAAAACTGGGCGCCACAGTGAACCCCCCCACGCTCCCGCCGGTGACCGCCTCCGCCATCACCCTGCAGCTGAAACACGGGCCCGAAGTTTTGAGACGTTACGAAAAGGCAAACCGTGAAACCCGGAGAGTGCTGATTAGAAAGTTCCAAATTGGCTTGGCGAGATCCGTCTTCGTGAAAGAAAGACTGTAAATCACGGCAGGTCTGAACGGTTCAACCGTCGCCCGTTTTTAATGCAAGGTGCCCTGGGGAGTCGCTTCATGGCTAAAAGTGATTAATTGGGAATAATGTATTCTGATGGGAAAGGGGAGCGAGGAAAGAAACTCATCTCTCACCAGTGAATTACTCCTCCTGGCTAAGAGCTTCACGTCTTCCGTGTTAATCGTGCTTCGTCTTGCGTGCCTGTCGGAAGGGCAGAAACAGTTCACCAAAATGTGGGCTGGCATTTGAAGTTTGGACGAAACACAGAAGTTCACGGTCAGACGGCGGGCTGGCAAGAACCTCTGAGCAGCCCACCTTTTCAGAGCGCGGTCATTAAGCACCAGGGACACAGACATGAATGAAGTGACAAGCCAGGACGCCGAGGGCACACGCCCACCCGCCCACCTCCCCCGCGGGCCCAGGAACGCCGGCAGGGAGCGGAGTCTGGGGCAAACACGACAGAAACAGCAAGGTCACCGCAAGGCTTCGGGGAACAGAGAGAGCGGCCCAGCCTCACGACACATGAAAGAAACCGTAAAGCCGGCCAGGCGGCTCGGTCCGCTGAGCACCGTCCCGGTACGCCGCGGCTGCGGGCTCCCTCCCCGGTCGGGGCACGTGCAAGCACCAGCCAGCATGCAGGCATGACGGAATAGTAAATCAGTGTTTTCCTCTCTCTGTCTCTCTCTCCCTTAAATAATTTTTTTTAGATTTTATTTATTTATTTTCAGAGAAAGGAGAGGGAAGGAAGAAAGAGAGGGAGAGAAACATCGATATGCAAGAGAAACATCCATCAGTTGCCTATCGCACCCCCCCCCCCGCCCCCCGACTGGGGACCCTGCCTGCAGCCCAGGCATGTGCCCTGACGGGGAATCAAACCGGCAACCTTTTGGTTCACAGGCCGGGGCTCAATCCACTGAGCCGCACTGGCCAAGGCAATAAATAAAGCTTTAAGAGAGACATTAGCCCTGGCTGGTATGGCTTAGTTGGTTGGATCATCATCCTTGAACCAAGAGGTCGCGGGTTCAATTCCTGGCTGAGGCATATACCCAGGTACATGCTGCAGATTCCATGGATGCAAGACAGGGCAACCAATCCATGTTTCCCTCTCCCTCCCCGTCTCTCTAAAAAGCAATGAAAAAATACCCTCAGGTAAGGATTAACAAAGAGCGAGAAAGAGGGAAGAGTGTGGGGGGGTAGAGAGAGGGAGAAAGAGAGAGAAAGAGAGAGAGAAAGAGAGGGAGAGAGAGAATTTCCGTGAGGCACGGCTGCACTCAGACCAAGACCCCGAAGCTCCTCTCCGAGGGCCTGGCTGCAGGACGCGCTCGTGCAGGTGCCCCTGACGCCGGACCCGCCGCCGCCCAGCACGGAGGCAACGCAGCCCCAAGCCACGGCCTGGCGGGAGCAGAGAACACCCTTGACGCCGGAGTCTGTGTCTTGCCCACAAGTTGGACTTAAAGTTTCATTCCAATCCCCTCATCTTTGCTTTAAAAGGTAATTTGAGATAATAAGCTCTATTCAATCATTTATTATTCTAGCTACACCTTTTCTTGCCATTTCTAACTTCCTCCAAAAATAAGTAGGAACTTCACACACAGGAATAGGTAGGAATCTTTGTATCCTTAGTAACTAGCAAAGTGGTCAGTGGCCAGCACATAGTAGGTCAACACTGAATATTGGCTGAATTAAAGACAAAGTCACACAGAAATCATACTCCATAATTTGGCCAAATTGTTCCTTCACATCCTGCTAAATGTCCAAATATCACCCGCCATCCTATCATGACGACAGTACCTGTCTGTCCTGGGACAACGCCCATCTCAGGGGATGGCCTCCAGGCAGCCACCTGCAAGGACCGGGTGAAGAGGGGAACAGGCAGGCAGGTGGCACAGCAGCAGCCACCAAGTGTGCGGCTGGCTGCAGACACCCCGGGGAGAGGGCAGCAGTGCCACCAAGGACCAGTGTGGCCCTGTCTCAGCCACCCGCTCCAGCGGCTGAACCAGGTGCCGGCTGAACCAGGTGCGGAGGGAGGCTGGGTGCGGAGGGAGGGCGGCTCATCTGTCACGGAGAAGCGTGGGCGCGCAGGAGGGGGCTGAGCCCACCCTCTCCGGCCCCCAGCCTGTCCCTGGTCTCCAGGCAGGGCCACTGCCCAGCAGACTCTCCTGCGGCAACCCTGACTCCAGAACATCACTCCAGAGAAAACGACAAAGTGACCTTTTTTAAAAAAAATATTTATTTTTAGAGAGGGGACAGGAGGGAGGAAGAAAGGGAGAGACAACATCAGTGTGTGGTTGCCTCTCATGCCCCCCTACTGGGGACCTGGCCTGCAACCCAGGCATGTGCCCTGACTGGGAATCTAACCAACAACCCTTTGGTTCGCAGGCTGGCACTCAATCCACTGAGCCACACCAGCCAGGGCCTAAGCAACTTGTTTACATAACGCTTTTAGCAACACTGGTTTTAAAGGTTATCCCCAGAATGTTCCTAGAATTTACTTAGTGGAGAATATCTATTTTCTTCAGAACACTCCATCTTTACCACATTAGCAATACTAGGTGACTAGAGGATTCAAAGCTAAATAAAGGAACTCCATAACTTAAACTGAGATGACTTCTCCAAAGTTTATAAGTGAATTGAATGTATTTTCAGAATTCAGAATGAAATGTGTTTTCTTGGCCTGGCTGGTGTAGCTAAGTGGACTGAGTGTAGGCTGCGAACCAAAGGGTCGCTGGTTCGATTCCCAGTCAGGGCACTTGCCTGGGTCTGGGCCAGGTCCCTGGTGGGGGCCCCCTGAGAGGCAACCACACATTGATATTTCTCTCCCTCCCTTACCCTCTCACTAAAAGTAAATAAATAAACTCTTTTTAAAAAAGAATTAAATGTGTTTTCTCCTGAGAACAATGTTACAGGCAGCCCGCAGAGACTGCTTCGTACTTCTAGAACTGTGAGTGCTGTGCATCTCGGCACCGCCCCCCCCACACACCAGGTTCCGGAAGCAGAGACCAGGTGGCAGGGGAAGCCCGGAGCCACAGGATACACGGAGTTGACTCTCTGGGAATACTGGTTTTATTCGGTGGTAAACTTTAAAACAGGATTTTTAAAACGCGAGAACACACTGGAATATCATGAAAACCAATGTAAAACGAAGACAAAGGATGGGTCTTCAAAGAAAATCTGCTCTTGCGTTCCCTCGGGGTTCGGGGTTCTTGGAAGGAAGTGCGAGGGAGGCCGCAGTTGCCCCCGCTCCGCCCCCCGCCCCCAGCAGCTGACAGCCGCTGCCCAGACCCCTTTCTTCAGAAGACGACGCCCTGGGTGGGGTGGGGGGGACTTCCAGCCTCAGTGACCGCCCGCCCCCCCCCCCCCACTCTGCCGCTGTGCCCAGGAAATGTTATAAAATGCAGGGGAACTGAAAGCTTGAGGATCACAATGCTGAGTATTTCTAATTTCATCATTTCTAATATTTTGCAGAAGCCTTTAAAAATGTCCCCTGTCTTTCCCCACAGCTAACACAGAACTGGCAAAAACACGAGCCACAGCCGGGGCACGCTCGGGGCGGGCAGAGGCCGGAGACGCTGAGGACCGCCCACGACGCCCAGGATGCCCAGGACCGGCCCAGGACCGCCCTGGGGCAGAGCGCCTGCCCTCCCACGGCTGCCGTGCTCGGGTGGGGACCCTGCTCTGCCCTGAGGAGGCTGCACGTTCACTTCGAAGCGTCATCTGTCCACTCCGTCACACTTCCGTGTCTCCCTTTGTAACGAAAGAGTTGTGTTTTCAAAATAGACAAAAAGAAAAGAGACGGCCAGTAAAGCCATGGAGGCGTTTCACAGGAGACCCGGCGAGGGGGACGGCGGGCCACAGGGGAGGGCAGCCGCCAGACCGACAGTGAACAGGCCTGGTGAGCCGTCGGGAGCCCACGGCACCACCGCACCCGTCTGGGCCAGCCGCAGACGCTGCGGGGTCTCGAGGGGCTCGCGCACGCAGGGGGCGGGGAGATTTAGAGCCTGCCCTCCATGCACCCGCCGCTGTAACTCACCCGCGCACTCGCTCACCCGGGAAGCACAGAGCTCCCGGGAGCAAGGTGGAGAGTGCCGGTGGGACAGGCTGGCACCGAATCAGAGGTGGGAGCTGACGAGGAAGCTCCAGCCCTTGCAGGCTTCAGTCATTCGAATTGCTTCATAAAAGCAATAGGTAGCAATTGTTTCCAATTACCTGAGGCGCTAATTGAAGAGATGAGCGTAAATCACCTGCAAAAGCTAAAGCTTTACCGGCTGAAAGCAAGTCACCGCTCTGCTCGCTCTGCTCCGAGCAAAGGTGTCACTGGGAACACACGTGGCGAGTGCGGGCCGGACGAGCGCCGTGCTGCCGTTGCCCGGCCACCTGCCGGCAATCACCGCCGCAGCACCCCACTCCCCCGCGGGGACCGGACCCCCGCGCGGCACCACCCCGCAGAAACGGTCTCAAAGGCACGCACGCCCTGCACAGTCGGAGCCCTCGAGACACCATTCAAGCCTTTTCAACCTGGAGCTGAATGATTTCGGTTCTCTTAACAAAAAATGCTGGGGAAACTTCAAAAAACGACAAATCAAGCCTGAATGGACGTGATTGCAGCAGATGTGATATTCTTGTGGAACCTTGATTAGAGATGAGCCTCCACAAAATGCCAAAAAAAAAAAAAAAAAAAGAATCGCTAACGCTCTCCTGAAATATCCCACCAGATGGAGAGTGTCAATAGGACGTAAGCAGACGCGGCAGCAGATAATCAAGCTCTTCACCCACCTGGCAAACATCTCAAGGTCTTTGGCAAAATTTTCTGAAAGAGAGAGAGACGAGCTTCAGCTCCCGCGTCACAGCCTCACGTGGGAAGGAGATGCGAGGCCGCCCCCCGCCCCCCGACAGCCAGCACAGGCCCCCCGCGCAGCCCCATCTCTGTCGGGCGCCTTGGGCCCTCTGATTCGTCATGACCGCCTCGTCCTCTGGCACCCGACCCCTTACCCGGGGCCTCCTGGTACTTGGGGCGACCCCCGTCACTCTCGAAACCACCCCTAAACTTTACGTCCTGTGACAAGCGAGGGCTTGCGCGGACATTAACGTCGTGTGAAGTCAAGCAAAGGCCTCTGCCATGAGTCCCGCTGTCAAATAAACTATGGGCGATATAAAAATGTTATAACGCAAGGAAATAAAAAATTTAATGTCTAATGTTCCGGGCAGTTTAAAACAATAAAATAAAGGTGCTAATGCCCCAGTGTTAGTGTAATAGAAGGAAATTGATCTTCCATAAACTACCCGAACCCGGCAGCCAAGAAAAAGACTGTCTTGGGAACGGCGGGAGGTGCCCGCGCTCCGACGGGAGGGGACCCACCCACAGCACCCGTCCCCCACCTGTCCCGGCGAAACCAGCCACCCCCCCCCGCCCCTGCGCCCACGCGGGAAGTCCGGGGCCGCCTACCGCACTGCCGGAAGGTCACCTCCGCGATGGCCGCGATGGTCTGCCTGCTGAGCTGCACTTGCGTGTCCGCGGCGGCCTCTGCGCAGAGACAGCCCACGGTGTAGTGGACGGCGGCCTTCAGCCTCTGCAGCATAAACCAAAATGCCTCAGGAGGGGGGCTGCAGATGAGAGCTTTCCACGTCTTAGAAAACTAAGACCAAGGAGAGGCTCTGCTCAGCCTGACTCCTGCGGCCCTCCCCTGGCCGCGGCACAGTGGCTCTCCGAGTGCACTGACACATCAACGAGGCCCCCTGGGGTGGGCCTTGTAGGGACACCCCTTCCCCGCTAGCGGCTGTGATTCATGCCGAGTCTGGGTGAGGAATTATGGGGGCGGGTCAGCGGGGAGAGAATCTGATGGCACCTGCAGAAGAGTATCTGCGCCACCGGGCTCAGTCCCCAACGTGTGCCAGGTTCCCCCTGGGTAGAGGTGCGTGCTGGGTGCTTGGGGCGCGCAGGGAGACGCCAGCCGGGGATGTTTCGCCTGGGTGGGGGTTAACCAAGTAAATGCAAAAGGACCCCGTCCCTCTGTTGCGAGTCCCTGCAGCCCCACGGCTGCATGGGAGGGAGGCTGGGTGACCAGGGTGACGCCGGGAAGGCCCCCGAGGGCGCATCTGACCGACCCTCCTTTGAGTGCCGGGGTGCTAGCCGGCCTTGGCAGGACCCTCCCAGCCCGTCAGCAACCTGTTGAGATCCTGGACAGCATCTCTCTCCACCACACGGAGGAGCGGAGGAGCCAAACCAGCTCGGCCAAGGTTTCCCTCTCATGTCAACAAACATGAGTGCGCTCCGTGATGGAGCTGACTGAGCGGGGCGCGGTGACGGCTGAGCCCAGGCCCGCGCCGTTTCCAGTCGAGGCGAGATGGGGGGCAGCTGCAGGAACACAAGCCCGGGACCTGGAGTGAGGGGCAGGCAGACGAGGCACCTGCCTTCCTTAGACCAGGGGCCCTGAGGCCCGTCAGAGGAGGCACAAGGACAACCACCCCTGGGGGATAAAGACCCCCCAGGTCATCCTCCTTAGGTGTGTGGGGGTGCCGTCAGGAGTGAGAGGAGGGGCAGCGCTCCAGCCAGTGTTCTCTGCCCCTCCTCCCGAGCCGCCTGGACTGGGCTGGAAGCTGCTTCAGCGCCCCAGACGCGGCAGCTCCTGGAGGACGGGGCCTCGCTGGCTCTGCCCAGCGCAGCCCGCCTCGTGCCAACAACGGCTGCCTCAGGGAGGGACCCTCCACCTGCTCGCCCGAGGCCGAGGTTCACATTTCTCAGCCCAGAAGCTGGCAAAGGGGGTCAGATGCACCGCGACAGACCTGACTCTGGGTGGTGGGCACACAAAGCAATACACAGATGCTGTGTCACCGAAGTGTATACACTTGAAGCCTATATAAACTTAACTGGCCATTTAAAAAAGTGTTCTCAGCCCCTCTTTGCAGGCCTCCTCATTGAATCAGCAAGCGTTGACTGTCTGCGGGCGGCCTGGCTCAGGACCAGGGGCGGGGAACACAGAAACGACAAGGCCAGGCCCTGATCTCCAAGCGTCTGTCTCCCACTACACCTCGGCCGAGAGCGGGCTCTTCAAGCCACCAGCGCCATGAAAGACACAGAGCTGGAGGGTCGCTCCAGGGAGGACCAGAGAGACAGGACCACCACTGCAGCGCACGGTCCTCCATGGGCCCCGGGCGGAGACAGACCACTAAAAGGAACACTTTCAGGACAACCGGGGAAATGTGAGGCTGGACTGAGCAGTATCTGGTAACAGAATTTCATCAGTATCGAACTCCCTGAGCGGGATAATGGAGATGATGTCGGAGGTTGGGAGACGCATACCCAAGTAGTAAAATGTCAACGGGAAGCGTCAAGATATTTGCAATCAATTATTAAGTAATTCAGGGGAAAAAGAGGAGCAAAAACTGTGAGAAGTAAACAACTGGTGAACGGAGGTGAGAGGTGTCTGGGTGCTGAGTACAGGGGTCCTGCAGCTTTTTCTGAAGGCTTCTCAAAAAGTAAAGGGATGGGTAGACAGCTCACAAAATGTGTCACTTCCTGGGCAGGAAACTCCCAGGTACGGAGCTCGTTCACGGGTCCCTTCAGTTAATCCTCTGTGAGGGTGCCACCTGGTTCTAGCTTCCCATCTCTCTCTTTTATTTAACATTTTATTTATTTATTTTTAGAGAGGGAAGGGAGGGAGAAAGAGTGAGAGAAGCATCAATGTGCGGTTGCTGGGGGTCATGGCCTGCAACCCAGGCATGTGCCCTGGCTGGGAATCGAACCTGCGACGCTTTGGCTGGCAGCCCGCGCTCAATCCACTGAGCTACGCCAGCCAGAAAGCTTCCCACCTCTTGACAGCGCACTGGAGTTCTCGGGACTCGGCCTCACGGCACTCACGCCCGGGCTGATTAAAGGAAGGGCTGAAGACACGCAACTACCCCGACCCCGACAGGTGCCTGTTGCCACTCCGACTCTCCATGTAAGAAAACTGGGTTTGGCCAAGTCAACGCCACCCTCACGTGGCGGGGCTGAGAGGCGAACGTACAACCGCGGAGACGGCGAGGTGTGCACGCAGCCCCGAGGCCGATCCACAGGATGGAGACGGCGCCGCTCACGGCGGCCAAGCCAACATCTTAGGGCTCCTGCCGCGCACCGGGCACCGCGCACTAAGTGCTTTGCCTGGTTTCCCCGTAATGTTCCCGTCCCATCCTCACTACGACCCTGTCTGAGAAAGGAGACTAAGGCCGTCGCAAAGCCACGGGGCCAGCCCCAGGCGCCTCCCTCGGGACGCTCAGCACGTGACTACAAAGCCACCGCCCTAGTGCGTTACCGTGGAGACCGCCTAGCATGCGGCAACCAAGCCGGCGCATGCGCAGGCGCTCGAGCCGGCCGGGGCGCGCCCCTACCCGTGGGAGGCGGACCCCGAGGCAAGAACGCGCGAGGCCTCCGGGGCTTTTCCTCCCCGAAAACTCGACGCCGTCCGCCCCCAGCTCAGCCGGGATGCGGGTCTCCTGTACCTGTTGATAAGAGAATCGCTGCTGCTCCTCGGCTCCCTCCTCCTCCTCCTCCATCACAGAGAGGACCTAGGCGGGCCCGCGAGTGCGTAAGGAAGCCGACCGCCGACGCAGTCAGATTTTCCCGCCGCGGCGCCGGGCGACGGGCCGCGCGGAGGGACAAAGCGCGTAGCCCTCCGCTGCCTCGAGCGCGCCCCCTGGTGGCCACTCTGGAAAGGGCCTTCGCGGTTCGTCGACTCCGGCCCTTCCTATGCTTCATTGGGCCAGGTGGCTGGACCTTTCAAGCCAAACTCCCTGTAGACCCAGGACCCAGCTCAGTGTCTGGCACAGTGGTTCACCAGCGCTGGGAAAGCATGCGTGTGTGTGTGCGCGCGCGCGCAGCAGTGTCCTGCACCATTTCTTACTGTACCTTCCATATAGCTCTGCAGCTCTGACTTACATGCACCTTGCCAAATGAGTTTTTCTCCATCTGCCACCTACAGTCGTGTCAAAAAATCAGCCCGTGGATAAATGCTTGGTTACTATCCATCCCATTCGGCGAATACGTCTCTCAGCTCACCTCGTTGCCGTTGACGAAGGAGTATGGTTTTGATACAAACGTTGACTGGTTTTCCTTTATTTAAGAAACAACGACAGCCAACCTTGGATTTTCGCTGCTTCCAAACCCTCTTCAGTCATCTCCCACCTTCCCAGCGTCACGTTTTGGAGCTTCACTCCTATCCCCCTGGTGTCAGCAAGGGACTTCTTTGCTGAACCAAACAACAGTGTTCAAGTGCGGGAACCATCTGTCCTCGATGTTTTGTGCTATTCCCAGTGTAAAGCAGGGGTGTCAGACTCATCTTCACCGGGGGACCCATCAGCCTCTCGGGTGCCTTCAAAGGGCCGAATGTAATTTAGGACTGTGTACATGTAACTGCTGCTCCACAGTTCAGCGAGAGCTCAGCGCTGCTGCTGGATAGAAACAAGGTGCCGGGCTGGATAAGACAAGGTGGAGGGCTGGATCCGGCCTGAGGGCCTTGTGTTGGTCACCTGTGTTGTAAAGGCTCCAGAGGAGGCGCACATTCAAGTCTAATCTGCATAGTGAACATTTCCCCCATCACTTAAGTAGACAGTGGAGTCAGGGAACTCAGAACCGGGGAGAGACGCTGCACCCACCACGTAGACACAACGGATGTCCGTAATGTCAGGGACACAGACAGAAGAAAAACGTACAACGTGGTAGCGTAAGTGATGAGCTTTGACTTTTCATCACGTCTGTTTGTTTGTTTGTTTAAGTCCTCACCCAAGGTTATGTTTATGGATTTTTAGAGAGGAGGGAAAAACGTGAGAAACATCTATCAGTTGCCTCCTGTATAGATGTTCCTATGTTCACCCCAACTGGGGATCGAACTCACAACCTTTTGGTGTATAGGATGACACTCCAACCAACTGAGCTACCGGGCCAGGGGTCAGTATTTGGGTTTATTTGTGCTTAATTGGAAGAATATACAGCCAACATCCCTCTTACTCAGTCCGTGGAGAAAGTCGGGGCGAGACGAAGAGGGAGGAGCTGCGGATGAGGAACCATGGGGTTTCCTTCCGATGCCTCAGCCGACAGCCGCCCACCTCTCAGCTGAATCCCCAGCGGCCGCAGCTGAGGAGGCGGAGATTCAATACACAAACGTATTGGGGTTGATTATTCACATCAGGATTTTATTCTTCAAAATGAGGGTTTGGGGCAACACAAGCCTCTAATGTATTTAAGTTGCCAGTTCACAGAATGATTGACACTGAGTGAGAGAAAACAACCTGCAGACCAGTATGAACCACACAATCTTTTGTTTAAGAAAAAAAAACCAGTACCAGCCTGTACCAGCCTGTGAACCAAAAGGTCGCTGGTTCGATTCCCAGTCAGGGCACGTGCCTGGGTTGGGAGCCAAGTCCCCAGTTGGGGGCGTGTGAGAGGCAGGTCAATAGATGTATCTCTCACACATTGATGTTCCTCTCCCTCTCTTTCTCCTTCCCTTCCCCTCTCTCTAAATGTAAATAAATAAAATATTTTTAAAAAGAAAAAATAAACATTTGTATCTCTTGTGGCAGTGTGGGATGTTTGAAAGGACCAGAAAAATCCGCTGGAAGAATACACGACAGTTAATTTCTGAGCCGGGGTCAAAGAGAAAGCAGATAAAGGCCTTCAAATTTTTCACTTTGTAAATTCCTGCAGTCTGCATTTTTCAACAAGCACACATTCCTTTTAGAATTCGAGATCAGCACATAAGCTGCTCCTCATCCTCCTCGTCCTCTTAAGTCCCCCCAAGCCCCCAGAGCGTGCAGACGGCAGAGGGCAGAGGGTCTCTTTCTGGAGGAGTCGGTCTTCCAGCCCATTTCCACTGCATCTGGGAGATGGCGCCTCTGGCCCCCACTGCTCCCCGGGTGACTCCCAGCCTGCAGTCTCCTGGGACGGTCCTCGGTGCCACGCAGGACAGACCTCTGGCGGAACTGCCCTACTCTGCCGCCCCCGCCCTAGCAGGGCCACTCTGCCCTCCGGTAGCTGCCCTGCTCCCCAACCCAGGCAGCTGTCTGATGGTCTCTGGCGGTTAACTTGGGGGGTGAATGGAGAAAGTGGTCTGGGAGTGGTGGAGTTGGATGGCAAGCGGGTGAGGAGTTCCAGCCCTAGGGCCAGACCTTGGCTTCGGAGCCCAGCCTCTCTCACTAGCCGTGGGGCCCCGAGCAAGTCCCAGAACCTCTCCAACCCTCATTCATATAGTGGGGATCATAGCACCAGCTTCAGCGAGTACCTGTGAGGTTTAAATGCGAGGTTTAGCCCTGGCCAGGTGGTGGAGTTGGTTGGAGTGTCATCCCGTACACAAAAAAATCATTGTGGGTTCGATCCCTAGTCAGGGAGCATACATGAGGCAACTTATTGATGTTTCTCTCTTTCTCAAATCAATAAGCATATTCTCCAGTGGGGATTAATAAATGTGAGGTTTAAGTTGCTCACATAAATGCTCAAGAAATAATTATTTCCCAGGCTGTTTCTATGCTCTGTGCCTTGCATATTACCTCATTTTAAAGTAGTTTCTTCCCAGGGCAATAGGACATTATTCTAGTGAGACCTGTGGAATATCCAGGTACTTTAGAGTCTGAAGAAAAAGGCCCAGGGCTGAGGTTATTGCATTACAGAAAATGAGTTTATTTGGTTGGAACTTTTTTTTTTGCTGGATGAAGAGCGAGGGGTACACACTGACCACTAGAGGTCAGCACTGAGCCACGCCGTGAAAGGAGGTGGTCCTGGCTGGCGAGAGATCACTTGCTCTTTGTTCTAGGGCCCCCTTGTACATCCCAGCTGCTCTCGGAAGGAGGTCCCGTCACCCCTCCCCCCATTTATGGAGGAGGAAGCAGGATCACAGAGGCGAAAGAGCTTTGCCCGCGGTGAAACTGCTCCAAAGTGGTACAGGCCAGATTCGATCCGGAGCAGCCTGGCTGCTGAGTCTCCGCTCTCGCCATGTAAATAAGACGTTCGTGGGTCTTCCACTGTGTTCAACGGGGCACCATCCACATTTAGTTCAGTAGCGGTCATCATTGATCTCCCCTAAAACTGCACCATAGAAATGCCGATTCACAAGTCAGTCTCCACTGGCTGGCGTAGCTCAGTGGATTGAGCGCGGGCTGCGAACCAAAACGTCACCAAAGCATCACAGGTTCGATTCCCAATCAGGGCACATGCTTGGGTTGCAGGCCATGGCCCCCAGCAACTGCACATGGATGTTTCTATTTCTCTCTCTTCCCTCTCTAAAGATAAATAAGTAAAATCTAAAAAAAAAAATCAGTCTCCACCGGCTGTTGTGCACATTTTATAAGCCCACGAGGGCAGGACTCTCTGACTTCTCTCACCACTGGACAAATAGCATCCGATCCAGTGCTTGACGCATAGTAGGTGCACGATAAAGATGGCGATGAGTCGATGCATTGTGCACGTTGCACAGTAAGACGGTCTCACGATCTTTTGCCGGGGGAGGCCTTTGCTGGAAGAGCCCAGGTCGTCCCTGTGCGGTCAGGCTGGACGCGGCCGACCGGGCAGCGGGCAGGGCGCCTCTCCGTCCACCTGCATCCACTTTGGGAATCGTCCAATGGCCTCGCCGTCAGCAGAAGGCAGGTGAGAAACAGCAAACCCCAGACGGGACCCCCCGTGTGGCAGGCACTAGTTTAACCCCCCAAACAGCTCTGTGGGCTGGATGTCGTGCCCGGAGGGGAAGAGGCACGTGAAGGGACAGTGAACTAGTGGGCGAGGCCAAGCTGCGAGCCCAGGCTCCTCACTGGGAGGCCTGGCCGCCTTTACAGAGCTGACAAGGAGCTTCCTACGGATGTGTTTTTCAAATAAGACCCGCAGGTGACGTTCAAAGGCTTGCAGGCACATGTAGGGAAAAAATGGGTCTCCGCCAAGGATCTAGCTAGGCTCGAATTAACAATAAAAATTGCTTCCACTTTTTTATTTTTGAGAGGAAGAGAAACATCAACTTGTTCCACTTATTGATGCATTGGGTGATTCTCATATGCGTCCTGACCGGGGACAGAACCCACAACCTCGGCGCATCAGGATGACGCTCTAAGCAACTGAGCTGCCCAGGCCAGGGCTTAGCTTCCGCCTATTATGCTCTGCCGTGCGTCAGGTACTGTGCAAAGCACTTTATAAAGCTTCACGTGTCGTCGCAATGACCCGAGGAAGTCAGCATTCACCCGGTGTTGCCGACGAAGAGACGGAAGCTCAGAGGACTTGAGGAGCTGGCCGAGGGGAGGACGCCAGAGGACTGCAGAGCTAGGCTCCGAACTCCGCCAGCTCCACGCTAGAGTAACCATCCCGGGCTCCACGCCCGCCTCGCGGCGGAGCACAGCCAGCAGCCTGGAGCCAGCTGAGCGCCTGCTGGAAATGCAGGGGGTGTGGCCGGCTCCAGACCTGCTGGATCAGAATGAATCGGCAGATAAACCTTCGAGAAAAACTTTTGAGAAAGTGCTTCGGAGCTCACAACCCTCACAAAGAATCCTGAGTCATGAGCCATGACTCGGCCATGACTCGGCGCCTCTTACGCTCGCAGGTGGGTGTGAAGGGTGGGAGGAGGCGGCTTGGGCAGGTCTAAGTATTCTCAACCAAGTT